TCACACAGTAATCTCGTGCATGGGAAATTAACGTCTCCTACCCCTAACACTGCAGGAGACGGGACCTCCATTTATTCGTCCCTATCCGAGAATACTAGAATATCTAACCATTTCTTGATGTTATAGAAAGGTAGCATATCCTTCTCAATTATTTTAAGACCTTGAGTGTTGGTCCGGCTGGGGCTTGAACCCTCTACCTCCCGCACAACAGTCCAGCGCTCTATCCATTGAGCTAAGTGGGAGGCCGTTTGTCAAACAGAAGACAATTTATCTAGCAATTGGGAGAAGAGGGGTATGGTCCTTGTCCCAACCCTTTTGTCTCTGATTACTAAACCAATTTTTTTAAAAACAGATTATGCTAAAATTTTCCAGTAAAAAGGAAAATTTGCAGGCTAGTAATAGCATGATCCTCAATTATGAGTTAGTGCAGATACAGCAGTATAAAGAAGACTGGTTTTAGAGTCATTGAAGTAAATAACCACGCCACTGCACTCTATCAGCAATAATAATATATTAAACTTTTATACCCAAAGATTGACTAAATAATCGCATCTGTGTTCTTGACTAACTCTTACAACCGTCTCTTAGTGAGCATCCATAAGCTTTACTAAACAAAATATTGCTCAAAACCTCAATTCCATGTTTGAGAGAAACTGTGTGTACCCTTTTGATTTGTCGGCTAATACACCTCAGCTTGGTTTTAGACGTTATTGATGACGCTTGACCGTTATGATATGCTTCAGCTCTCATTCAAAACAGATTTTTTTATGAAATTATAGTGGCCATCTCATTTGATAACAAATTGGCCCTACCACTGCTCTAGCATCAAGGTGGTGAAAGTTACACTTAGAGAGGCACTTAAGCAAGATTTCCGTATAACCTCGCACTTCCTTAATACAAACGATTGTTTGATTAAAGAAATAATGGAAAAAGACATTAGATTAATACTTTTGAGACCAGGGCTTTGTTTTCGAACAGTGTGAGGTTATGAGGAAATCTTTCCTACACTTCCTCATAGAGATCGTATTTCTCCTTAAGTTAAATCTCTTCTTCCTGCCCATTACTTCTTTGCTTCGCAATATTCATTTTAGTTCTTTTAAGAGCAATGGTAGTGTAAATAGAAATCTACAAAGGCTGTAAATGACACGTCGCTTTGACTCATTTAGGCAGAAAATAAACAAAACATGACCTCCAATCGACTTTAGTATTACATTTTTACGAATTTATATTCAATATACAGCTTTCAAAAACCATTCAAATAGGGCTGAAATTCTTAAAATTGAAAATATTGTTAAGCGGAGCAGTTGACAACATCGAAAATTTCGCCATCACAATATTACATTAAATTTTCAATTTATCTTCTAACGTTGAAATACGATTTTTGAGGTACTATCAATGATAAATTCGGAAGAACATATGTCCTTTCTTGACTGTGTTAGGATCGTCACAAACAACCTTTACCAGAAATCAGAATATCAAGCTTATCCTATGTATTATTAACGATAATGACATTACTCATTCACATTAGCAAAAATATTGTTTCTCAATACCTGTAAAAGCGAAAATTCAAGCTGAATACACTTGAAAAGCAGTCACCTTTCGTACAATGGTTTTGCAGCGGCAGAAGACAGCAACGTTTACTAACGTTCGACCCACAGTTCGTATCATATTATCGTGTGAGTTAAAAAAACATACAATCGCAGCGATCAAGTTTCAACCACGAACTTGCTGAATATTAACGAATATCACCCTTCTTCCACCCGACCCCTATGGATAAATTTTGCCTCGATCGTGGGAGTGCAACTAAGATTCGGCCCTGGGGGGAGGGGAATGGTCGCATCAGAAAGAAGGGCTGGTCCTGAGCAGACTTTTTGAGTGGTACCAATTTTATTAGGCCCCTTCGCGAAAAAAGTTAATATTTATTTCTTATTAACCGAGCGGGGGGTCTGTATGAGAGAATCTTGACCGAGGTCGCGTTGCCAGTACACTGACCGAACGCAGTGAGGTCTTTACCAGCGACCGAGGTCAAGATTCTCCCGGAGCTCCCATACACACCGACGCGCGAACTAGCTTGGTTATATGGCTGTCTTATATGCCAATTTTTTATATCCTTTGTACCTTTTTTTTCCTAGACCGGTCTAGATGCCGGTCTACATGGGAAAATCTTGACCGCTTTCAATATTGATTTCAGCCAATCAAATTCGTGAATTCGGTAGTTCCCAGTCCTTGTGAGACACAGCCATACAATAATCTTACATACGGGACTGCTTTTGAGAGAGCAAGTTACCAAGGGCCCTACTGTAGTCTTACAACTACGTATACTTCTTCCCCTCTTTCTCCGCTCGCATGGGCTCATGAGTCGAAGAACACATGGCGGCCAGTTGCTCACACTTTCCTTCTTTGCCTTCTATTCCTTTGGTGAATATTCTGTCGTTCTTGGATTGGAAAGACTTGCTTAGTTGCTCTCAGGTTTGTTCGCGGTTCAATCAAGTTGTCTCCAGTCATCCTGTGTGGAAATCACTGTGTAAGGAGGTATGGTTGGTCGAAGAGTGCCCTCCGGAAAGAACATGGAAGCAGTTATTTGTGGAATGGACAGTGAAATGGGGTCGCTATGAATCTTGCTATGCCTCCATAAGAAAAGCTTGGAACATCATCGAAGACTTTACAAAGTGTCACTGTCCTAGCATTTATGCATCCTTGAACGATGGACTGTCAGAAGAAGAAATTCGTGAAACCGAAGCTAACAAACTGAATGGTGCGTGTGCGTAATATTTTATAATTAAAAGCGGTTTTTTGCAGTGTTTGAAACTCATATTTTCAAAATCAAAAACCAGAACGGATCTTTTTCTTTTGATACACTTTTTGATGAATCTGTTTTGTTTCTGGTCCATTACCGACCTCACAGTGTTTCCTGATATTTTTTTCTCTCTTACTTGTTTTGTTTTCATTTGTGTGTACACAGTCATCCAATAATAATTACAATACAATATAATACAGTGTTCTTTATTTCAAGAGGGTAAATACATGATTAACCCAGTAAAGAGTTTTCTAACACATGGCCCTCTGTAAACCCACCCATCCCACCTAGGGGAGGACATCCATCACACAGTAATCTCGTGTGTGGGAAATTAACGTCTCCTACCCCTAACCCTGCAGGAGACGGGGCCTACGGCTTATTCGTCCTTATCCGAGAAGACTAGAATATCTAACCATTTCTTGATGTTATAGAAAGGCAGCAAATTCTTCTCAATTATTTTAAGACCCTGAGTGTTAGTTTGGCCGGGGCTCGAACCCTCGACCTCCCGCACAACGGTCCAGCGCTCTATCCATTGAGCTAACCAGGAGGCGGTTAATTTTTCATTCAGATCGCAAGTTTTTGTAGAACAGCAACATCTTTAAGAATGAAATTTGATATTGCATGTCCAATTTCTTAATGGCAGCAACAGGCGGTAACCAGTTCTAATTTTCTCTCTCTACTTTCAAACTTATTAACAGACAAAAAAGGTTGACATGAAAACGTATTTTTTCTGCAGGTTGCAAACTCCCAAATGACCTGAGATGTTCAATTCGTATCCACAATGGACAGCAGCTTGTCAGTCCAGGGTTGATTGGTTCCATGGAAATTTCCAGTCACTCTCAAAGTGAATCTCTTCTGGAGCTTGACACAGCTGCTGGAGCACTCCAGCACCGTGATGGGTTACGGAACTGTATTCCAGTTTCCTTTTGTGTGAAGACTGGAAATGGACAATTTATGGCATTGACACATGAAGAAGGTCATAATCCAGGAGATTTGTTTTGGCCGAGCCCTGATCGCAGTGATGACACTTTTGACATTTCTCCAATGAGAATGCACTATTTTTTGAGTGGAAGCAGTTTTGAAACCTGGCTGTGTAAATATGCAGATCAGTTGTCTCAGAACTGCTTTCCAGTTATTAACAAAGAAATTTACAAGTTCTTGTTTTCTACCTCTGCAACAACCCAGGGAATCAAAGTTACCACCACAACTGCATTTGTTCCCGAGCTAAGCAGTGTCAAACCTCCTATGTTTTTCTTCACATACCGCATATCAATTTCCATGGATCCAGAGTGTTCTGAGGTAGGTTACAAATTGTACAAGATAATTTATATAGAATAATTTTCCCTAAAATTCATAGGCATTATATCATGCCTCTGGAGTTGCTTGCCACATGCAAAAATTCTCATGCAAATTTGTCACTTATTAATGCCTTCTATGTAACAGGATTTGAACAAAAACATCTTTCTCTATTTCTTTACTAAGCTCAAAACTCACCATCTTTCTAATTCTATTTAGAAAACATGATGCTATTGAAATTGCTGATCTTAGCAGTATCAGAACACATGTCATATATATGAACTTTGTAATGGGCCTTGCACACCAAAGAGTCTGTGGCTTAGTGATAGAACATCAGGAGCACAGAATCCAAAGGCCTGAGGATTCCTAATGGGGACTCGGAATTTTTCTTTGTCTAGCACTCGTGACAAGACGGAAAACATCTTTCTCCATTTCTTTACCAAACTCAAAACTCACCATCTGTCTCAGCCTATTTTACATAATATTATTTATATAATATTTATCATGTTGACTACAACCACCACAGAGAAGTTCTTATTTTCATTTTGATTACATTACATTTTACAGTCAAACTAAGTGAAGGGTACCCCTCAAGATTACACTAATGAATTGATCATTTGGATATTGAACCCACCAGTCGTTTCAAGAATGCAATAATGAATTGATTATTTGATTATTGAACCTGCTAGCCATTTCACGAATGCAGTAATGGATTGATTATTTGAATATTGAACCCGATAGCCGTATCCGTTTAGAAAAGGCGCGGATCATTGTTCAAATTAGAAGTCCATTTCTGAAGTCCAATAAGATTGTTCTATTTGATGAGGAATCCTGAAAATGAACAAACTGCACTGTAAAAACACTGCGAAAGCAGTCGATCGCAAATATTAACAAAATAAAAAAAGTCTTGCAATGGCTTCACTCGTAAACTATTTTTTTCAACCATGAATAAACACAAGAATTTCTACAAGTTCGTCAAGATGTAAATAGATGAAAAAAGCTCTCGATAACATTCCATTTACAACATTCACAAGAAGTTCTACACAACACTCGAACTCACCTTTCCCGCCATGTCTGACGCCATGTTGAAATTGTTCCGATCCATCATCACGTGTTTGCATAATCCAATCAGAAATGGACTTCTGATTTGAACAATGATCAGCTCCTTTTCAAAACGAATAAGGCTATCAGGTTCAATATTCAAATAATCAATCCATTATTGCATTCTTGAAATGGTTAGCAGATTCCATGTTCAAATATTCAATTCGTTACTATGTTCCTGAAATGATTAGCGGGTTCAATATTCAAATAATCAATTTATTAATGTAATCCTGAGGGCTACGCTTCACGTAGTTTGACTGTAAGAAGCATGTCAACATTTAATGATCATCGGTTATTTCATGCCCCAAAAGCTACACAGTCATCTACAGTGTACACCTAAGTAACATCTTCTGTTACTATAACCCTCTGTGCCCTGACATCAGTATGCATATTCTCCATACGGTTCTCTATACATTTCCTAAGGTGCTGACAAGGAGAATTTGTCCAACAATCAAGAGTTTCTTTAATTGGTGATCATTTCCTTTATTCTTTTTACCCTAATGTTATATGCTGATCATTTTGAGATGTAATAGAGTTAACAGATCTCTGGTCTTTTCACTTTTCAGCTTATGAATAAATGTCAGCTTACAACACGTCACTGGTACATAACTGATGCAAATGGGATCAAAGAAGAGGTTCATGGTAATGGTGTGGTTGGACAGTATCCAGTAATGACCCCAGGGGCACTCCATGAGTACATCAGTTGTACAACATTTTCTACCCCCACAGGGGTCATGGAAGGACATTATGTCTTTAAATATTTAACAAAGGATGGGAGATTTAATGTAAAAATACCTCCACTACATTTCAAGAGCCTACCTTTTATAGTTACTGAGCAGAGATCGTCAAAGTTGCCACAAGGCAAGTGTGACAAAGAGTAAAATTTCAGAAAGATCGGAGAGTGAGGAAAATTTTTCATGAAACAGTACAATGAATGAAACAATGATGTTCCAGCTCACATGTTCTTCTTGCAGTTTACCCATTTGTCTCAACTTATGTCAGCTGTGTAGTCCATTTATTGAAATTCAAAATTTTCTTTATTCAAAAGTTCTGTTATAGTAGAAGAAGATAATCAAAGAGATAAGTTCACTAGAAATTGGTGTGAACTGGTAACCATTTCTGAATTTGATGTGGAAGGGCAATGAGTGAATGGTAATTGACAGTCATGTAAAATGTTAATGGCATCATTTGAACACTTCAGCAACAGATGCAAGCTTTTACCCCTCTGGTTTATGTTACATATCTGATGAGAGTGACACCAGTATGTTGCGGATAAAAACATTCATTTGTTATACAGGGTCATTATGAAGTTAGTGAAAATGTTTTCTGTGTTGATCTGATAACTATTACAAAATTCGTAGAGATTGAAACATAGAATAGTTAATAAAATATCTGTTTCGCTCAGAAATCATCTTTGGTTCAACTGAAAATATTTGCGACGATGGGGTGGCCAACTAGAAAGCCTTTGCTACTTTGGCCACCACACACATTTTTATAATCTGAACTGTATTTATTTTGTAATCATTTGTTGCAACTTTACTTTTCTATCTATGTTAATTTTATGTAAATAGTGTGAAATAAATGAACCAATGGACTATTTCTGTTATACTCATAATACTGAGTTTTTCGGATTTTAAATCCTAAGTTTTACCTAAAAAATGACAGTTAATGCAACAGCTCGATTTGAAAAGAAAATCTGAAAATAGCGAAAATAACCAATTGCACCACATCGCTCAAACAGAAATAAACGCAAATTTTATTGACTTGGTTGTTACAAAACAGATTGCAGATTTTCAAGTTCAAAGAAAAACATTGCTACGAAATGATTACTCTATAGTGTTTCTTGACTCGAGTTTTTTCACCTAATGAAAGTTGTTAACAGTTTGTGACGGCACGAAGTACATGACGTTATTAGAGAAACTCGTCCCTGGAGTGAAACCAGTATCATCAGCGTGGAAGCCGGGTGGAGGTCGTTCACAAGCGGTCATCATCTTCAAGTATTCCACAGGAACTTGTAAGCATGCTCCAGCGATGTCTTCGGCAGCGTTCGCCTTTGATCCGAGACCCATCTTTGTATATAAATTCCTAAGACGCTTCATATAGGAACATTCGTAGTTGGCGGCGCGCTCTTGTTGACTCGTACAAGAGATTGTCGAAAAAATGTGATCTTCTGCGCAGTTGATTTTCCTATGCTCATTTCTGTTTGTCGTCATCAGTGCATCACTGTTTTTATCAGAATCTTGGGCGACGTCCTCGTCTTTGTTCTTGAGAATGTTTTTATCACATGGTGATGCCGGTTGTTCCTCGAGGCTCGCGCAGGAACTTGCCGAGTAATTCATTGAAGCCATCTCATTTCCCTGGTGGGCTTGCTGACTGGAATCACGACCTTCCTTGTTTTTAGTAGCCGCGTTGTAAATGGATGGAAAGAAGTTAACTGCGCAAGTTTCCAGAGACTCGGTCTGAGTTTTTTCAAAGTTTTCGGATGTCACCTTTAAATCATGAAAGATGTGATTAAATACATATCAATATGATTGTCTATGTTTCAAAACCATAGTGGGTACTGTGAAAATGACGCCAAACTGAACACGATAAATAATTGTAAGCGAATAGGTCTTGTGCAACGATATTCAAAGTTTGTTGTCGATAAAAAAAATATGCTATTTTAAATGTTTTGAACAAAACAAACGTGGTGATAAATACAACTGGCTATTAGTGATCCATAATTGTTTATTTTTTGTTCTGCTTTCCTGCCCTTTCTGATTTTCTGAAGAAATTCGCGTCACTGGCTCCATACAATTGTAATATTTTGACTAGTCGGAGTGAACAATTTGGTTTGAATTTGATGGAATCCAGTTTAACTTTTAAGACATTACATTTCTATCGCTTACTTTTTGTTCTTTCTCCTCCTCTTGATAAATCTCTGCATCCCAGTTTTCTGACTTCATGGTATTACTTAACTTGGAAAGAAAAATTGTATATTGATAACATGAAATGCAACTAATATCCAACATTTTTCCGGACGGTCTCGAATAAATCCGTACACTCTTGGTCTATACATTTATGCGTGAAAATATGGTCATGATAGTAAGTTCACCTATGAAACGACAACATTTCTTGTGACATTTTGTCTGAAGTATTAAGGGAAAAGAGTATGCGGAGAGGACAATGGAAATAGTGAAGACATGGGAGCCGTTCCCTTTTCCTCAATCTTCCCACAGCTCCTCGCGCGCTTTCCTTTCCCCTCTACCCACACCTCCAGGGCCGGCTGTCTCAACATAGGCGTTTGTGTTAGAGAAAGTGCCAAATGTATAACGCTACTGAAATTAACAATGAAAGTTATTGAATAAAACCAAGACCAATGTATAGCACATCTATCTACCTTCAGGGAGTTACTCTCGGCAGGAGGAGATTCTTGAACTTGGGCATCAAAATTAGTGGTTTTCAATTCCCTGATTTTTTCCTGGAAATAACCATTTGACAGAGAGAAATCTTATGGGAAGTAAGTTATAATCAGAAGATAATCAAAGGCAGAAATTCAATTACTCTAGGCAATAGGAAATAAGAGAAGGGGAAAGAAAATCAAGATGTTGGATCATATATCAACTTCGCTAAATTGAATTTAGCGAAATGGAAGTCTGCCTCTCAGATCAGAGTCGTTAAAAAGTCGGTCAGTTCGTCGGTCGTTCAGAGACCCAGTCAGCCAGCCAGCCAGTAGTCATTTAGTCAATCATTGAGCCCACCAGCTAGTCAGTCAGCCAGTCAGTCAGCCAGTCAGCCAGCCAGTCAGTCAGCCAGTCAGTCAGCCAGTTAGTTAGCCAGCTATTCACTTTAGTTTTTCAATCAGTCAGTCCGTCATCCACTTAGTCACTCATTCTCTCAGTGGTACAATTCAATCAATCAAACTTACTGACCTCAAGCTTGTGAATCTTGGAGTTCTTTTTCTGGATCTTTTCCAAGAACTCTTCAGCAACTTTCTCCTTCGCCTTTTTGATTTCTCTATTGGATCGTGATAGCTTTTCCATCTGTTTATTGAAGTTCTGTTTCCAACAAAGTAATTAGGTCTTCAGTCAGGCAGATGTTGAATTAGTTGTCACAGATATACAAAACACTTTTTCCTTCGTCATGTAAATTCAGCTGTTCCACAGGTTATATTAGTGAAGAGACAGGTATAAAGTGGTACTGGAAGATGGGCGCTGCAAGCCCTCTGCTTCCATAACCGTTACCCATTCCGAGAAAATCTCTTTTGCTGCATTACTCACACGGCATCCTAAAGTGTTCATGGTCCACTGCCACGAATGAATTCACGGCTAATTTAAAATATGATGGAAACTATGCCTATGGATCATTAAACTTACAGCTATCTTTTGATTTGCTTCCTCCAGTTTTTTCTTTGTTTCGTTTAGTTCTCTTTGCAACATGTTAAGCTGTTCAAATGGATTCTTTTCCAACTTGACCAAGAGCGCTTTCTTCTGTCTTTCCAAATTCTTAACTTTTCCATTGAGAACCTGAAAGGTGTACATGAGTATTGAGAGGCATTAGAGAGTTTTACACCCTAAAATAAATGCTTTTACAAAGTTTAATACATATACTGACAAATGTCTTTAAATTTGCATAATGAACCAGTAGGATGGCGACGATCGGTATACTGAGTGAAGTTACTCTTTATTAACTTAATATGTCTCAGTTCTCTCGACGAGTTACCTCAGCGAGTGACAGGGTTTGCTGTGATTGGTATTCACTGTTCTCTGCTGGACTCAAGTTTAGGTTTTACCATTCATCGTTATTTAAAAGGGATTTATTATGGTTTTTTTTTTCCTCGCATTACACTGCGAGTTTTCTTGAGGGAGTGACGTAATACCGCGGCTACACTTAATGAAGTAGGAGGTTAAGAAACTGATGTAATTTAAACTCGTTGCATTTTACCTTTATTTCTTGCTGCTGTTCAGCCTTAGATTTCTCATGGAAAAAATTCTCCTGGGCTAACTGCGCTTCCAACTTTCGAATACTGGTCACAAGGTCTTCCTTAGAAACACTCAGATCTGCAGCTAGTGATAAATTTTAATCAATGTGAAAAAGTTCACCTTGAGAAAGATTTGCGATGCTAAGGTTAAAAGGTACGTACAGCTGGACAAGCGAACTCTAAACTTGTTTTGAATATTCTGTCATAAATTTCAAAAGGCCACCATGCATCTTCAACTGGACGAGTATATAGGAAAAGGTCCCAGACTAAACAGGAGATCCAACTTCCATATGAAACGAGTTAACATAAGAATAAATGTATTTACTCTAGCCCCATCACTTTTTAAACAACCTGGTCCAGTAAATGCTAAACGAGAAAAGAAGAAAAAAAGTGCTAGAGAATACCTCCCGAGTTGTTTTGTTGTCTCTTAAAATTCTTGCGGTTTCTTGCAGCCATTACGGTTTGAATGTAATATCTTCAGGATTTTCTGTTAATCACAGATTTCTAGAAGATAAATATTTTCTCTCTTTCAGTCCCACTCGTGTTGTACCTTTTCTGGGAACTTGCTCAACGTTCAAATATTTTGATAGGCGACTTAACGGTAAAATTACGTCATAGTCAACGTGACAATGAATCATATGACGATTGACGCAAACCCCAAATCGCTCTGCGCGCGCTAGCCCGAGAACAAGCCTAGCCTACGTGTAAAGGCTGATAGTTTCTAAAGAAACTGTTTGGGGCTGCGTCGGTGGGGGTAACGAAATAATTAATGGAGCTACGTTCCCTCCCCGTTTTTCTTGGGGGGGTGGGTACGGCTACACGTAGGCTAGAACAAGCCATCCTCGTTTCCAGGGTGCAACGTGCTTCCACTTGTCTTTATTATCGCAAAGCCTTTCTTAATTTGCAGTGGGTCCTGCCAGATAAAAGAGACAGTGAGCTCTGGGGAGAAGAATACGATAGTGGGGACCGGAGATTTGGGTTCATAGCCCCCTCCTAAAATGTAAATAATCATGTGATCAAGCCCCATCCCTTTTCCCCTTCTCCATCTCCATATTCTTCATCGTCCTCTCTTTCATTTCAGATGCGTCAGTTGCTGAGTGATTTAGTAACAGTACTGAAGCCACCTTGTAAACACTTCAATCAGTTCTGTCTTGCTCCAGTTTCTGGCGTCCAATCCAAAGCAAAAATTTCTCTTCGGGTTCCATATCTCCGTGCGTCATTTTGTGACGTCATTCGAGGGTGCTGCATGGTTGACACAAAAATTGGATGTAAAATTGTTGACGTTGTTGTTTGACGTGAAAGAGGCTACGAAGTCAGCTGGTGAATATAGCTCCGAGATTTTGGACACAAGCATTGTGAAATTAACTGGGAAAGTTTTTTATCGCTGCCCTAGATGTCTAACTTGACCCAGAGAGCGATAGGAACGAAAGTAACGAGCTACCTCGTTAATTAGTAATAATTTGCGTTCGGAATTTGTTTACACGAACACCTTCGTTACGCTAGAGAATCGTCATGGATGAATTCGAAACAATAAATCTCGACACCAAAGAGTGCAAGATCTGTGGACAACAGACAGAGGAAGAATTGATTTCGTGTATTTTGCGCGAGAAATTTCCTCGGTCAGGAGGAAACACTACTGAGAATGAGTCTTTGAAAGTAAACGAGGCCACCTTTGCTCATCGGATCTGTCTGGAAAGATGGGACACTATCATGAAGAACACGTTCTATCCTCAGCCGAAGAAAACGTGGAAAGATCGGCTCAAAGGCTTTATTAGCGCGGGAGAGGCCTCAATAGAAACTTGGACTCCGGTTACTGCTTGTCATTCGACTGATACTTCGAACGATCGAAATCGGACGATGTCAACAACAACAACAAAGTCCTTCTCAACGGCCTCGAACTGCTCTGTTTTCAGCAAGAGCAAAGAAGCTTATCGAGTGGCAGAAGTCCGAAGCAAACAAGGACAATGGCGAACTAGTAAAGTTCGAATTTGTTCTGTGGACTCGGAAGAAGAACAGCAACGTTCAGCGTCTCCCATTGCGAGTGAACAAAGCAAGTCCATTTGGCACACAACATCGACATGTGGGTATAATCACGTTGAATTATTAAAATTCTGTGGTTATTATTTGAAGCTTGATTACTAACCTCAACTTCAAACGGTGATTAGTAGACGAATGCCTTTAATTTCTTTCGATTTGACCAATTACTTTCCCCCATACGTAAATTGTACACATGTAAAATGATTTGCCTCTCTTGAACTCACAAGAGATTGTGCTGGGTAAACATATCTTACATTGGTTATCAGTTACCATCAATTTTCTGTTGTTAGCTCCTTTGGGTGGTCAAAAGTTAAAATAAAAGACCTGCTCTCCATTAAGGCCCCACCAAATGGGAATCATTTCCAGTGTAACTGACACACAATTTAAGGTGATTCCTTTGTGAAATAAATTGAACGAAGATATTTCAACCCATTAACCCATAGCAGTTCTTTAAGTTGTTTTAAATGTCCCTTAATATCAGTACATTGCTGAGTAGAAAGTCCATGAGGAGATAGAAAATATCAGATAGGAGATATTGTTTGATCTGATGCCAAATGATAAGAAATGTATGACAGACAGAAATGAGAATTGCTTTTCAGATCATGAAAGTGAAAGAGTTGAATTATCATGTGTTAGTGTTTCAGTGTGATTTGAATGAACTGAAGGAGGCGTTGGAGGATCTAAAAAGGAGAATAAATGGTAAGTGATGTGATGCTGACTTTTTGTGAATGAATGAATGAAAAACTTTATTTATGTGTGAAATCGATCTAGCCGAGGGTAAGAAACCCTCTACTAATAGGGGACACCTAAACTCAATACGATAAGTTAAAATTCAACTAATTTAACCATTTACAATAGATAAAATTTAAACATGTCATTAACATTAAGAACTAAAAGTTTAAAATACCTTGTTTAATACTCGTTATTGGAATGCAATTTTGAGTGACTCTGAAATAGATCTTTTTTACACAATCAGTTCACCACTGCTTAGTTCACCTTAAAACTTCCATAAAACTTCTCATTTTAATTCTTCTTTCTACTGATATTTTATAAAAATCCCTGCATACTTAATATAGAAAATCTTATTTGATAAAGATAACATTCCTACAGAGGATTATTGTTGTCATAATGAGATTGATACAAAGAAGGCACTACTGACAATTTTAAAAATGTGCAGGAGTCACATTGTGGAATATGTGATTTTATTATCCAAATGTGCTTCATAGAGTACAAATAGCATTTGAGACAAGTACATATATCAAATATCCACGAAATTCACCCACTCTGAAATAACAATTTGGCCTGTTGGTTATTATAAATCTCTTATTAAGCATTTTGTTTTGTAGTATTGCTGAGTATTTTTACTTGTTGTTTGCATTTTGACTCACCCTACAGGCTCGTCAATTTATAAAAATAATCAGCGATACTACACAACAAAACATCTAATAAGATATATATGCACAGCAGTTACTGCAGTCAAATAGATTTTCTATAGTGTAACTTTAAAGTTCAGTCAGATCCAAAAGTGCTTTTCCTGAAAAATTGGATTTGCTGAAATCATTAATGGTCTTTGTCTTTTTAAGTTTGCATCCCAATACTCATTTTAATTGAAATCAAATATTCAATAAATTATGTAGTGTCATTTTGGAAAATCTGATCACCACAGCAGAAAGAAAAAACAAAAAAATTAACAGTGTAGTCATTTAGTCAGTTGTTGATAAAATTGTTTGTAATTCTGTTTTTGAAACAAATTATGTTCTTCTCTCACAGAGGTGTCATCAGATCTGGTAATGCAGCTAGAGGAAAAAGATAGTCTTCTTCAACAGAAACACACCATGGAGACCACAGTGGGTCAACTTATCAGTCTTCAGTCTAATGTCAAGACAGCAAGTTCACAGAATGCATCAAAATCTATGAACCCCACCCACAACCAGCACAGTACCCTGTCTTGCAAATGACACCCTATTTGTGTTACTTTTTCATGGTCTACGTATGTGGTAGTTATTTCTTTAGGGTGTAAGAAACTTGTTGCAGCAGTGGCCTTAACAACAGAACCAACTGTCTAATCCGAAAACCTTACTACAGCCACTGTTCCCTTGAAAGGAACATACATGTTAGACTTTCTCAAAGTTGTTCACTTGGTTCTCTGTTCTGGTGTGGTAGGATCAGCTCGGCTCGCATGTCATGCTCACTATCACGCTACGCGCTCAAAAGCACGACGTGAGCAAGTCTACCTACATGTTTACATCCTGGGGGTCTATCCCCTTGGTTCTTGCTGAAGGCCATTTCACATGAAATCTGATTTGTCACCTTTTATAGAAGTTGTGAAACAGTCGGGGAAACGTAATTGAAAAAGACCCACTCAGTCTTAATCTTAACCCCTTAACTCCTATGAGTGACCAAGACATAATTTCTCCTCACAATATCAAGACAATATCAAGTAGACAAGTGATAAGAATAAAGACAAATATTAATCAGGGGATTTTTAGTTGATCCAGTGGGCCAAATTCTCAAAACTAACACCATAAGAATTGTATGACAGAAAATAAGAAGAATTACTTATGAGATCAGGAGATTATAGGGTTAAATTGACTGCTCAAGTCAGTCACTTCTGAGAAATAAACAACTCTGCAAGTTTATGAGAAGGTGTGATGGGCTTCTCCTGAAATGAAACAGCTTGTTGTTCCTTTGGACAACCTTTTCATTTTGTTAGAGAAGTTTTATGTGATTAGTATTTAGGATGTATAGAGATAATTATAACCAAAGATTTTTAGTACGCCTTTACAAACTAAGTTTTTGCCACATTTTTTTTCTGTTTTTTTTTTTCTTTTTACAGTGAGCCTTACTTCCATGTATGGTTTTATTTCCATAAAGAAAATGAGGTTTGAATGATTGATGACCTCTAAAGCAGTTCTTTCAAGTTTAGTTTTTGCTAAAAACATGCAAAAAGAGTTAGATGTAAATTGTAATCTGATCAAATCTTAGTTTTAATTTATTTTACCAGAGTTGACTTCACAGACTGTTGATATTACATGTATATATATTCTAGATATTTTAAGGCCAGATTAACATATTTGCCAAGGAATCTGTGTGATTTTACTCTATACAACATGTAAATTAATACTAAAAACTTCTGAAACTCTAAGAGAAAGTTAGTTTTTCACTGTATCTATTTTATTGATGAGGGATTGTGCTATTTAGCTGTGGGGTGGGGGGAGTAAGGGCAGGCTGGATTATCTAGCATCTTACTGTGATTGAGGTGGGGGGGATGGTGGAGAGTTTGGTGCAAGAATCTATATTTATCAATTTTTTCTTAACAGTCACATTACCCAAGGGGACCCC